TCTCATCGCTGTGCCCTCTTCAACACTACGCTCTAGCGACTATCTAATCACTCGCCGCAGTCTAATCATGTCTATACGTGGCGAGTGATTAGATAGCAGAGAGAGCGTAGTGTTGAAGAGGGCACAGCGATGAGAGTCGCATCAATGCGCAAATCAACGGGCAAGGAAGGGGTCCCATTTCTCGGGTTTCGGGCCGTTTCAAATGGTTTCTTCTTCATCCCTGCTCCACTGACCACCTCTACTCTTATTTTTAATGAGCTACCATTTCGTAGTGAACACTTCATTTAAAACGCCGGAATCTTGTGAATCCAGAAGCTCGTTTCGCTTTTGAGCAAAATTCTCCATGCAAGAAGCAAAGGTCGTTTAAGGATAACAAGGCATTGAAAGAGAACCTCTCGGCGGCATTCGAAATGAAATCCTCAACAGGGCCACTTTTGGAATGCTAGATGTGCCTGATTTTAGAAACCTCTTCATAGAACAAATCTATTTTGCGACACCATATTAATTATTTGAAGCCAGTGCATTGAAAGAGAGAGAGTATGGCTCTTCAAAAAAGTAAAAATTCGCTAATCTCGCGAATTTTCCTCATTTTTTTGTAGAAATCCTCAACGTGCCATTTGTGATATACTGGATGTGTCAAATGATTGCGATGGTCATTTGAAAGAGCGGATTTGCTAGTTTACTCAGCTATATTACTACAGCTTTTCTGATTTATAGGGTGGCCACAAACTACGGTAACAAGAGCCGCCGCAGGCATGTTTAAAACTAAACAGAGATAAATAGGATTGTAGGTTATAGAGCATTCGCAAACCTCCCAAGGTGAAGGCCCATAGGCCTACAGGGGCCCAAACCTCAAGTACCTATCGGGGGTCAATTCGCCGTTTCCCACTAACACGCCACGGTGAATGAGCTGCGCGGACTATTTCGCTCCTTTCTCAACGCACACCGCCCAACTTGGAAACTGACTTTGTTCCCCGTTCATTAAACTTTAACATCATGCTGTAAAACGCGTAAAGCATGGCAGTGAAGGGGATGACAGTTGTTGTCCAGCTGTCCATAGCTCGCCGTCCAATGTGCGTGTCCACGGACCTGACATGGCGGCTTCTGTACATGATGGAACTCGTGTGTGTAGGCTGTTACCAATACAATTTGCTGGAAATCGGACATGCCACTACTTCTACATTAGGATCATAAAGCAATGAAGTGATTACAAGGCGCGCACGATCACATGTTTCATGTTCCAATCTCACACGATATAAAATATTGTCACCCATTACATGTTATTCTCTCACCGGATATTGAATGGTTAGTGTGGGGAAGCACTTGGAGCTTGAATGGATTCAGAAGACTTCTCGTACAAGGGTCAGAGCGACTGAGCAAATTTCTCCTCCGAAACTCGCTGGCTTTTACTAGTGATCTGATAAGCACGAGTGCATGACATATTCCGCAGGGATTTATCACACTTCTTTTTTTTGAAAAGTTTTCAGTAATATAACAACCTGGCATCCTTTGTTCTCGACGTCAGGGTTCGTTTGCCGTGGTGCTGTGAAAGAAATTGTGGTAGAGGTCGGAGAATGGAATGTTAACTGCACATCCGTTGGTGGGCCCATTGGTTCTGAACAAGAACAGGAATCTTGCTAAATCTTGGAAGCTGAAAAGTGGATTGATAATGGTAAATAATGAGTACCATACGTAATTTCGTTTTTTTAA